TTGGCTTTCCCCTTGGAGCAACTGGAGCCCGGAAAAGGGGTGGAATTCGGCCTGGGTACGGGAACCCCTGGGCAACCCGGTTTGCACGTTTTGGGGGGGGGGTAAACAGGGCAAGCGGTGGGGGGGTGCGAGCCCGTGGTATAGTGCAGGAAATTCTTTACTTCCGGAAGGAACTTCCTCCTTCAGAAAGACACAAACGTCGCCGGGGCGCGAGCTGCAGCAGCCACCGCGTGCAAGAGCTGAGGGAGATGTGCGCAGCGCAAACGTGTTGAGCGCGCACACACGTCCTTTGGGCGGCTCGCCGGCTGCGGCTAATATCGAGGGGCCCGGGGGAAGGCGCACGGCCTGAACCCCCGTCTCGCTGCGCCCCCCGCAGGTGCTCATCCTCGTCGGCGAGACGGGCTCCGGCAAGACGACGCAGATCGCGCAGTACTTGATGGAGGACGGGTACACCACCTACGGCATCGTCGGCTGCACCCAGCCTCGCCGCGTCGCCGCCATGTCGGTCGCTAAGAGAGTCGCGGACGAGGCGAGCCTGCGTGGGGGAGGATGAGAGCGCGCCTGCTCGTGCCGCCGCCCGCCCATGACGCCGTCCGCGCTGTCTTCCGCTCAGGTCGGCTGCGAGCTCGGGCAGGAGGTCGGCTACTCGATCCGGTTCGAGGACGTGACCTCAGAGGCGACGGTCCTCAAGTACATGACGGACGGCGTGCTGCTGCGCGAGTCGCTCACAGAGCCCGACCTCGACAAGTACTCGGCCATCATCATGGACGAGGCGCATGAGCGCGGGCTCAACACGGACGTCCTCTTTGGCACCGCTGCACGACCGCCCGCCCCTCCGCCCGTGAAAGCGCGACTCACCGCGTCCTGGTCTCCGCCGCCGCCGCAGGGATCCTCAAAAAGACGGTCGCGCGCCGCCGCGATCTCAAGCTCATCGTCACGTCGGCGACGATGGACGCCAACAAATTCTCCGAGTTCTTTGGCTCCGTGCCCGTCTTCAAGATCCCAGGCCGCACCTTCCCGGTCGACATTCTGTACGCCAAAGTGCCGCAGGAGGACTACCTCGAGGCGGCCATCAAGCAAGCGATCCAGATCCACCTCTCGCAGCCCAAGGGCGACATCCTCATCTTTATGACGGGGCAGGAGGACATCCTCGCCACCTGCGAGGGCATCAGCGAGCGGTTGATCGAGTGCGGGGAAGGAGTGCCGCCCATCCTGGTGCTGCCCGTCTACTCGCTCCTCCCGTCGGAGCTGCAGGCAAAGATCTTCGACCCGGCGCCCGACGGCGCCCGCAAGGTCATCGTGGCGACAAACATCGCCGAGACATCCCTCACCGTCGACGGCATCTACTACGTCATCGACTCCGGCTTCTGCAAGCTCAAGGTGCGGCGTGCGGCGGCTCACGTTGGGCGGGTGGTGGCGTGGCAGGGGCGCTGCTCACGCCGCCCTGCCGCGGACAGGTGTACAACTCGCGCATGGGCATGGACTCGCTGACGGTGTACCCGACCTCACAGGCCGGCTGCAATCAGCGCTCCGGCCGCGCCGGCCGCACCGGTCCCGGCCGGTGCTACCGGCTGTACACCGAGTACGCGTACTCGCACGAGCTTCTCGTGCAGACGGTGCCCGAGATCCAGAGGACCAACCTTGGCAACGTGGTGCTGCTGCTCAAGTCGCTCGGGATCGACAACCTGCTCACCTTCGACTTCATGGACCCGCCGCCGCAGGACAACCTCCTCAACTCGATGTACCACCTTTGGTTCCTCGGCGCGCTCGCCAACACCGGCGAGCTCACGCCGATGGGCCGCAGGATGGTTGAGTTCCCGCTCGACCCCACTCTCGCAAAGATGCTCCTCTTCTCGGAAGACCTCGGCTGCGTCGACGACGTCGCGACCGTCGTCTCGTGCCTCTCGATGCCCACCATCTTCTACCGGCCCAAGGAGCGCGAGGCGGAGAGCGACGCAGCGCGCGAAAAGTTCTTTGCGCCCGAGAGCGACCACCTAACGCTGCACAACGTGTACCTGCAGTGGCGGCGGAACAACTACCGCTCCGACTGGTGCAACAAGCACTTCATCCACGCCAAGGCGATGCGCAAGGTCAAAGAGGTTCGCGAGCAGATCCTCGACATCTGCAAGCAGCTCAAGATGCGCGTCACCGCCTGCGGCTCCGACGTCGACCAGGTGCGCAAGGCCATCTGCTCCGCCTACTTCATGAATGCGGCAAAGATGAAG